ACTAACAGTTACCAAAGGGAAAGGGACTGTGGACAATGGGTGGGAAGGTAGGGATAAGGGGGGACAAAAAGAAAGGGGGCATTACGATTAGCATGTATAATGTGGTCGTGGGGAACAGGTAGGGCTATGCAACACAGAGAAGACAAGTAGTGATTCTTCAGCATCTTACTACACTGATGGACAGTGACTGTAATGGGGCTTGCGATGGGGGGAGTTTAGTAAACATAATGTTCCTCATGTAATTGTAGATTAATGATACCAAAATAAAAAAAAAAAAGGGGACCAGTAAGTATTTGATGAATGAATGAAAGTAAATGTCAATAGGACTTGATGAACTTATAGCCTCCACAGATCCTGGCGGGCTTATAACCTCCAGAGATCCTGGCATATAAAAAAAATTAGACCCATCTTTTTCAATGAAGAAAGTTGATCAATAGGCTAATAGTAGGTTAAAAAAATAAATAGCCACAGTTCATCTTCAAATTCCAGGATCCTCTCCTTTGCTACAACAGGAAAGTAGGAGCTGTAAACACATACTGAAGGGTCTGGGGCAGATAAGGGATGGCTGTCATATTTCTCCTCTGCTGGACCACGTGTAGCCCATAATGATTGGACTGAGACATTCTGCTGCCTTCTCAGCAGAACAAGCTGGTTTTATATAAACCTCTTGTCAACTAATTAATTCAGCAAATATCTATTGAGTACTTATTATTTTATACTCAGTACTAAATGTATCTTTAGAGGTTAAAAAGTACTTTCATATAGAGTCTCACTGGATTTTCACAACCTCTCCGGTAGTTTCTCATTTTCCATGAGAAAACTAAGGCTCAGGAGATAAAGTAATGTGCCTAAGGTAAGAGCTAGTAAGTGGGGCGGCTGGGGCGGGGGGCATGATGAATCCCAGTCATTATTTTTTGCCTTTTCAAGAAATTGTGATTTAAAAAGACATACAAAGTATATCTTAACCATTTTTAAATGTACTTTTAATGGTTAATTATACTCACATTGTTGTGTAACATATCTCCAGAACTTTTTCATCTTGCAATACTGAAATTCTATACCCATTAAACAACAACTCATTTCCCTTTCCCCTGAGCCCATTAACCACGATTCTACTTCTGTCTCTCTGAATTAGACTACTCCAGGTACCTCATGTAGGTAGAAACATATAGTATTTGTCTTTTTGTGACTGGCTTATTTCACTTAGAATGTCTATTCTAAGTGACAGACGTGGTAGCATGTGACAGGATTTCCTTCCCTTTTAAGGCTGAAATAATATTTCATTGCTTCTATACACATTTTGTTCATCTATTTGATGGACATTTGGATTGCTTGCACCTCTCGGTTGCTGTGAATAATGCTGCTATGAACACGATGTGCAAGTATTTTTTGAGATCCTGTTTTCAATTCTTTTGGATATATGCCCTGAAGTGGGGTTGCTGGATCATATGATAGTTGTATTTTTTTTTTTTTTTGAGGAACTGCCATACTGTTTACTACAGCAACCCCACCAAAAGGGCATGAGGGTTCCCATTTCTCCAGTCCTTGTCAATACTTCTTATGTTGTGTTTTTTACTGATAGTAGTCATCCTAGGTATACAGCTTAATCCTTGATTTTTAATCTAGTGCTTTTTCTCTTACATTATACTGCAGCACTGTCTCTGTAAAAGAGAGAAATTTGAAATGAGGTAAGAACAGATTTCTCAACTAGATATTATGTTTTTTCAAATAAGGTAAACGAACAGAACGTAAGTTTTAAGTCCAACAGAGCTGGATTTGAATTCTGTTTTGTAACTTACTACCTGTGAAGCCTTGAGCAAGCTACATAACTTTTAAGCCTAAACTGCATCATCAATCATTAGTAGTATTAAGAGACAACTGCTGTGAGGATTATAGAGATATACAAGTGTTTAACAGAGGAATGGACAGATAGTAAGTGCATCACATACAAGAAGTAGTATTGTAAGGAAAGTTACTAGAAACAGAATAGAAACCGTACCAATTTTGGTAGCACTATAGATGTTTTCAATAGGAAATATTTCTCCTAGCCCATACAGGAGAACCTTGGCCAGAGCTGGAACCAGCTGGGTTGTAGTAATCAGAACATTCACACAATTCTTTCTAGAAAGGAGAAAGAGAGAAAAGAAAAAGGTGAAATTAAACCAACCTGCGAGCAAGAATTCAAATTCTTGCTTAGGATCTAATTATTAAAAATTAGGATCTAATTATTAAAAATTAACCTCAAAGGACCTGGTATGATATTGGTTCAGTGTCAATGTTCAGTTATTGCTCTAATTATCTCAGGTTTATTTATTTCCCACATTAAAAGACAGAGATTTAAAATTGGGCAGAGAGCAGCCACTTGATTCTTGCCTCATTTCCTTTCTGACTATTCTGGCTCACTCCACTTGTAGTGAATACCACCAACCCATGTCAGTGATACCATACTCTAGAAAACAAGCAATAAAGACTTTCAGTTACAGAGTTATTTCATCTGAATGCAACTCAGAGAACTTAAATGAGATATGACTGAAGTCCTCACTGCTCTTCATGCAACAACAACACAGATTCCAGAATATACATTAATTTCACATGTCTTTTACCTTCACAGATCTCTACACCTTGGTGTCAGTTTTACTGTTCACTTCACTAGATTGTAGATCTGTTATTCCTGTTCTCAGGGAGGGTATTGGTGCAGATATGACAGTAGTCATCCTAGGTATACAGCTTAATCCTTGATTTTTAATCTAGTGCTTTTTCTCTTACATTATACTGCAGCACTGTCTCTGTAAAAGAGAGAAATTTGAAATGAGGTAAGAACAGATTTCTCAACTAGATATTATGTTTTTTCAAATAAGGTAAACGAACAGAACGTAAGTTTTAAGTCCAACAGAGCTGGATTTGAATTCTGTTTTGTAACTTACTACCTGTGAAGCCTTGAGCAAGCTACATAACTTTTAAGCCTAAACTGCATCATCAATCATTAGTAGTATTAAGAGACAACTGCTGTGAGGATTATAGAGATATACAAGTGTTTAACAGAGGAATGGACAGATAGTAAGTGCATCACATACAAGAAGTAGTATTGTAAGGAAAGTTACTAGAAACAGAATAGAAACCGTACCAATTTTGGTAGCACTATAGATGTTTTCAATAGGAAATATTTCTCCTAGCCCATACAGGAGAACCTTGGCCAGAGCTGGAACCAGCTGGGTTGTAGTAATCAGAACATTCACACAATTCTTTCTAGAAAGGAGAAAGAGAGAAAAGAAAAAGGTGAAATTAAACCAACCTGCGAGCAAGAATTCAAATTCTTGCTTAGGATCTAATTATTAAAAATTAGGATCTAATTATTAAAAATTAACCTCAAAGGACCTGGTATGATATTGGTTCAGTGTCAATGTTCAGTTATTGCTCTAATTATCTCAGGTTTATTTATTTCCCACATTAAAAGACAGAGATTTAAAATTGGGCAGAGAGCAGCCACTTGATTCTTGCCTCATTTCCTTTCTGACTATTCTGGCTCACTCCACTTGTAGTGAATACCACCAACCCATGTCAGTGATACCATACTCTAGAAAACAAGCAATAAAGACTTTCAGTTACAGAGTTATTTCATCTGAATGCAACTCAGAGAACTTAAATGAGATATGACTGAAGTCCTCACTGCTCTTCATGCAACAACAACACAGATTCCAGAATATACATTAATTTCACATGTCTTTTACCTTCACAGATCTCTACACCTTGGTGTCAGTTTTACTGTTCACTTCACTAGATTGTAGATCTGTTATTCCTGTTCTCAGGGAGGGTATTGGTGCAGATATGACTGTATTTTTTTCCCATTTTAATCTTCAGGCTGAAATCTCCTTAATCTGCTTAATATGCCCTTTTTCTTTTAAATCCTGTCTTCCTGACTAGGCTTTGGTACATTTCTTTAGAGCTTCCTGTATTTAGGATATTTGTGATGTCTCCTACATGTATTCTTCGATGTCACCAGCCCTTCTCCCGGGCTGGGGATTATGGGTTACTGAGTTTTGTGTGAACAGAAAGAGAGGAGAAAAAGGCTTTCATATGTAAGTATTCTTTTAAAACTCTAAGGTGTGCTGTTAGTGTAGAATGACCTGGCCTCCCACCTAACCTAAACACTGCATCATTTAAACTCCTCTCACCCCTATCCCAAACCCTATTTTAGGGCACTGGCCTATCCTGGACTGGGGAAGAAAAGACTGTGTCTTTGAGAGGATGAGAACTTAAACAACCACTTCCATACCTGGACTGGATGAGAAGTAAGGACTTTAATGCAGTTCCTAACCAGGAATCTGTCAAAACTTCAATTTCTGCTCTTAGCCTCTGCAGTGCTTCCTTTCTCTGAGGACTGAGAAGGCCTTTGGGGATAAAAGAAGACACCTTTATCACTTAACAACATATCCCTGCTGACGTTGAGGAAGCAACTTCTAAATTCAACTTAGTGTGAGTCACTGAAATATTCTACTGAGCTAATATATTTTTCTTTTTGGTAAAACTGTGGAATAGCCTACTTCAAAATGCCTTTTTGCCTTTCTCACCAGAATGTTTTATTAGGGGGGCACAACCACAACAACAAAATTAGCTGATGGAAACAGTGTCATTAGATTCTGACACAAGCTCTTTCTTTCATCAACCAGTAATGTATCTGCAGACTGGTGAACCATACTTTGAGTAGGACTGCTTCAGAAGTGACATCAAGAACCAAAGGGGGGAAAAATGGCATGTTACAGCTGGAAGAGTCTACAGTACTCCCAAACTCCCAATCTTTTTCTAAAGAAATGAAAGCCCAGGGAGGAAACGGAGGCTGCCTAAGATTACAGAGCAAACTGTGGCTTTCTGCTACCATCCCCTGCCCCTCTGGCGACAGCGTTTTCAGAACACATCAACCTGAGATTCTGGGTTGAGTGACCAACTTTGAATGTCAGTTACCTGTACTGTACTTACTTCTGAAACAACTCCAGCTGCTAAGAGTCTGAAACACTGCTTAAGATCAGACAGTTAAGCACAGAACAAAACAGAATTCATGTGATGGGATCATGTTATCAGACAGTTGGGTTATAATATTCAAATAATACATCTGGCCCTGAATTTTCTGTAGTGAAGGCAAAAGATAAATCCTGCATTCTATTACCAACACTCCATAAAAACAAAAGGCATTTCCATGAGCACTAGAACTGCATACAAGTTGTTTTCAGATTGATGGTTTCACAACATAATCTATGAAACATGTTTCCTTTAAAAAGGCATTTGTCTAAAAAGAACAAGAGAATTTTGCAATGTTATGCTATGAGAAATACAGTTTCCTCCCCAAAGGGATTCAACCAAACCTCCATGTTTTTTAATACAACGTTAAAATGTTAGTACGGCACAAATTCATTAGCAGTTGCCAGGGAGTACTAAGGAATCCCTGGAAAAGAAAACAGGAAATTAGAAGGAAACAGAAAACTCAATTGGCTGTATGCCACACTTACCACCCACATTGCTTTTATGCTTATCATAGATTTCTCTCACTTTTCGGTAGCGAAAAGCCAGTTTCCTCATCCAGTCCACACCTCCCTGAACACCCACAGAGGAACCATGGCTGCTGCTGCCTCCTGAGCCACTGAAACCATCTGTTGAAAAACTGTAGTTGCTGCAGAGAGAGAGAGGATGAAAATTACAATCCATACTGCATGGAGTTTTCTGGCTGAATGCCACCTGGGATTCTGTCTATTCCTGAAATCTGGCATCAAAAACTAATGTTTTGAGAATCTTTTCCCATTTTATGTCAGTCTCTTTCACAGACTTCTGTCTCATCCCTATTCTATCAAAGAAAGGCTGAGGGAGTAGAGAAAGAGAGGTAGGAACAGTTCAAGCACCAGCATCCCCTAGACGTTGGTTTGGTATAGAATCTTTTCATTGGCAGAACATCACAGAGTGGGGAAAAAAAAACCAGAAAAATTTTGAATACACACACACACACACACACACACACACACACACAATGATTCCAACCATGTAAAAAGGAGAATATGTTAAATAATGGAAGAAAATAACCCCAAATACTAATAACAGTAAGAAAATGGGGATTATTTCCTTCAGTGATTTGTTGGCTAGTTAATTAAGTTTATGGGTCACTGTTGTGACTTAAAATATGTCCACAAATTCTTTACCACTCCTTGCTACTAATTCAGCTCCCTTTGGGCACGGACTGTGTTTGACTATAACCAGAATGTGGTGGAATGATGGTGTTAGACTTCAGAGACTAGGCTTGTTTTGCTCTCTCATGGAACACCTACTCTGAAAAAAGACAGCTGCTCCCTGCAGAGGCCTATGAAGGGAAGGGACAGAGGCCTCCTGTTACCAGCCACACGTGAGAGTTTAGAAGCAGGTCCTCCAGCTCCCAAAGCCTTCAGATGATCTTAGCTCCAGCCAGTATCTTGATTTCAATTTCAGAGACCCTGGTTTCAGAGCTACCAGATAAGTTACTTTCAACCTGACCTATGTAAACTACGAGATGATAAATGTTTACTGTTTTAAGCTACTAAGTTTTGGGGTAATTTGTTATATAGCAATACGTAAGTAATATAATTAAATAGGCTGGGAGAGATTAATATTTCCTAGGTGAAGATTTAGAAATGACTGAGACAACTTGGTTCAATCAAAAGTCTAAATAAGAGTTCAATAAGTATAAGGTTCTATATTTAAGAAAATAAAGCTGCCAAGATATAAGATAGGAAAGTACTGATAACCACACATATAAGAGAGAAAATAAAACCCTGGATCATAAACTGCTTCAGACCAGACTTTGTCCCTAAAAGGCCAGTGAAATCTCTTAAGAACAGTGCTCTCCAGAGCTGTGCAAAGCACAACATGCTCAACTGGCTGCTGCTCCTCATATGAAACCTTGAACCCTTCTGAGCACTACAGAATTAGGTCCAGACTAAGTGCTATGTTCAGTTCTGCTCTAGATTTGAGAATTCATGGATGAAACAATTTTAGGGTAGACACAGGGAAGAACTTTTTGCCTACAAAAAGGGATAAACATTTAAACAAATTAACATGAAAAGATGTGACAGACTTTTTTCTAAAAATCTTGAAATGTAATCTAGATTTTAGATTATTCTTAGCTAGGACTACTGGGCCAGAGGACAGTAGCCAAGAGAAAAATGAAACTGAGCAGGTATTTTGCCCCTGAGCCCTCTTAGGTTTAGTGCTCACTGTGATGTAATGTTTAAGATTGTCTTTCACAGGGGTACTCCTGACACCATCAGATCCGCACAATTAATGTCCTCAGTAAAATTTCTGGTGCTTATGTGTATTTAAAACCAACCAGTCTGGAAGCACACTTTCCCTGACTGAGTATCTGGCCAAAGAGAAATTAGTATATCCTTTACTTTGGAATGCCTTTTCCTCACTCCATTATTGCTACCCATTCTTCAAAGTCAAATTCTACGGCACTGGGAAGGCCGTTCCAATGGTGGCAACACCTGCTACCCAAACCCATCAGAACTCCTTTCTTTTCTGTGCTCTGTCATATTTTCTATTGTCACCTTCTCACCCTTGATGCCATGCCACCATTAACTATGTTTGTTTCTATCTCTAACAGATTGTAAGCTATTTTAGGGCTGTGTCTTATTTATCCTTGTTTCCCTCTCAACCTAGACAGTGTCTTGTGCCTAACAGGTATATTGATGTCATTGTTTTAATCACCTCAAGTCTTGGCCATTGTCATCAGATGCCACGTCTTCCACATGCACCTGATCACACTCCTGTTAAAAGACAAAACCACACACTATTTCAGTCCAGGAAGGAAAAGTGCTCTTACCATGATGACATACTGCAAAAGACCACAAACAATGGCAAGATGATGAAATACCTTATGGTCTCTCTTATGTTTGGAGGATCACTCTCAACCCCCTTGCTGTTCAACTTCTTTTAAGGCCTAATTCACATCCCACAGTCTTCATGAAATCCTCCTTAACCATCCCAATCCTCAGTCAGGCTCTTAACAGTTCGTTTTTCCAATAGCTCACAGGAATAAGCGCAAGCTCTCTTACACTGTCAGGTGTGTCTATTTTCTATACTAGACTGTACATCCTTACACTGTAGGCCTCCTGTGGCACAGCCCATATCTTATACCTGCTTTGTACCCCTCTAGTTCAGTCCAGTGCCTTTGTGTAGTAAGTACCCAATCCATTTTTGCAGATGAAAACAGATGCTAACAGAGGATGGTATCAAAACTGAGAATGACTGAAACAGAAATTTCTAAATTCAAACTTAGTAATTAGAAGAGGCCATCTAAATCAGTCTCCTCATGTGCTAAAAGTGAAGTGAGATGATTCACCCAAGGTTGTACAATTAATGAGTGGTAGGAAGAGATTAGAAAGAGCCTGGGTCTTCTAATAAGAATCCAAGGTTTTTTCTACCAAGCCCATGATATATCTGATGTAAAATGCCACCCACTGCCTAACTCTGACAGACTCACTCCTCTGACACCACTGCCTAGGGCAGTGTTGTGATGTCCACCTGCATCAGAATCCCCTGGGGAAGTTTTTAAAAAATGCATATTCTTGGGTCCATCCCAGACCTACTTGAATCACAATTTCTGGGAGTGAAGTCCTAGAATCTTCATTTTTAACAAGCTCCCCAGGTGATTCTTATGCCCCCTAAAGTTGAGAACCACTGACCTGGGGGGCAGGAACACATTCAGGTCAAATTCTTCACAGAACTTTCAGTCCTGAGTGAGGACTATGTCTAGAAAATCATTACAAATACAATTTGGCAATAATTATTTGGCACATAGTAGGTTTTCAATAAATGTTTGCTGAATAAAGCTATTATGTCCTAACTTATCAACATGTGAAGTTGAGGGAAGATTAAAGCATTGAGGAGCTTAGATAAAAAAGCACTGGAATTTAGGGACCTATTGATTCAGCTTGTTGGAGAAAATCTGTTGAGTAGAATTAGACTGCATTTAAAATGAAATAGAATTATGTGGTGTTTATAACATGCAATCTTATTTTACTTTAATTTCCACTCTTAAAAAAACAAGGCAATCTATGTAGCATACAGTTCAAAATTCAAAAGGACATAAAGAGACAAGTCTGCTCCTTCCCACCTGTGTTCCAGCAAGGCATTCCCCAGAAAGAACAACTGTTACTAGCCTCCTGTGTAGGACAACTGTTTAACTGAGGCCCAGAAGGGAGAGATAACTTTTCTAACTTGGGACTCATGCTCTGGTCTTCTGACTCCCAGTCCTGTGCTACTTCCAATACACCATGTTCCCCTCAAAGGTGACTCAGATGTCACAGACAAAACAATTCACCAAGAAGCTTCCAGTGTTGCCTGGTTTTCCATGGACCTAACTATAAAGTGATTCTCGACATCAAGGTTAGCCTATATACATGGACAATAAGCATGTACAAAATGAGTTAGAGCAGCCATTTATAGATCTGACAAATCAAGAGACTTGTAAGAAGGTAATATTCTTCTGAAAAATATATCTGTTGAGTACAAATAATCAAACCCACCTTGTACATATTATTTTGTACAGATGAACAAATTAGAATATTGGTTTATGTATCAGTGTTTTGCCTGATGGGTTGGCATTTTCCTCTAGACTAGATCAAATGGACTAACCAAAAAATAGGCTAATAAACTCAAACTTTTGAGCCAATAAAATTGAGGGCCAGAACCAAGACTTGTTGACTTACCAAAGGCGCTATTTCCTACAAAACTATGTGTGCCAACTGGCCTCTCTATACCCATCCTGTGTAACCACATTTCCTCTAAATACAAGCAGCACAGGCTCAATAAGTAGTTACTGAACAAATGGTACACTGAAGCACAAAAACAATTTAAAATGCTTACCTCTAAGTCATTGAAAAAAAGATGTGTATCAGCTACTTCAAAAATCATTTCTTCCATTGTTAAACCTGAGCCAATCACTACTGTTGGGTCCTGGAAGAAAAATAAGAGAAAAACTTGCTTGACTTGGTGCTCACAGCACTGATTGTGATCTTTAAACATTTTAGGTCAAGGCCAAAAAACCCAGAAGCCAGCAGCATTGGTTCTAACAATTACTGCTATTTACTCACAGGTTTAAGTATCTGGGATTGTAAAAAGTTAAAATTTTCAGGACTTTCATTTCTAGAAAACTAGATCCACTTAAAAAAAAAACCCCACCACTTAATTTCGGGGAAAATTCCATCCCAGGAGAAATGCTGCAGTTATAGCACCCACTGTATTCCACTATTTTCCCTGCACATGTTCACATACAAGCACACTCACAAACATGTGTACACATACACATGCATGCTATAACCAGAAGTCTCTTATCTGAGAATCTTAACAACCAGGAAATAAGTACTTAAAACTAAAAATATCTGCAGTAGCCTACTGCATTTAGTTTTAAAATGAACCATCAGGCCTTCACTTAGAGATGTATACTTATTTTATATATTTTTATAACCAGCTTTGTTATATAGCAGATTAGTTATTAGATCAGATTGCCAACCTAGATACTAAAAGCCTGTGGAAAGTACTTCTAACAGAAACATTAGACAATACTAAATAAATGGGAGTAGTAAGAGAGCAAAGGCGGTAGATAAAATTATAGAAAATGAAAAATAGAGGAGACTGGAGGAAACTGAGTGTAGAAATATACAGCCAGTATCTTAAAAGTAGCTCATCCCTCTTTTAAAACTACTATTTATACTGAAGACTAAACAAGTTAAATTCTGCTTGGTATATTTAATTTAAGAAGGTATGTAATCTACTATAGAAAGATACTTTATTATATGTTATTTATATTTTAAATGCATATATCTGGCATACACTCAGCTAAATGAAATGCTCAGTTTGGACTGTTAAAAGTAATTTAAGGAATAACATATCAGTCTTTGGAATATATAATCCTGAGACTCCACTCTTGTTTTGAGACTTATCCCCATACTTAGACTTTATAAAACACCACCTTGAACAACTCCAGCTTTCAGCACTGTTCCTATATCTAGTTTCTAGCTTTATCAACTCTAAACATTTAGCCTGCCTGATACAAACTATCAGGTGAAGTGAAAGGCCATCAGGATAAGATGGAGGAAGCAGAGAGTGGTTTGGGTTATCTGTCCACATAGTCAGGAGAGGGGCAATTATAACAAAGGAAGAAAGGCTCAAATTACCTTTCCATACTTCTGGGCATAGGATCCAGTAAGAAGGGAGTGGAAGATGATGATGGTTTCATCCAAGTCCCACAGAAATACCCGCTGAGAGAGGAAAATAAATGTAATATAATGAGTGAGCATCTTTTTCAATTGCAATGGAATGAAACAAGAAATCAGTAACAGAAGGAAAACTGGAAAATTCACAAATATGTGAAAATTAAACAACACAATCTTAATAACCAATGGCTCAGAAGAAATCACAAGGGAAGTTAGAAAATAGCTTGAGATGAATGAAAACAAAATACAACATACCAAAATTTATGGGATGCAGAAAAAGCAGTGCTAAGAGGGAAATTTATACCTGTATATGCATCCATTAGGATGGCTAATACCAAAAAAATGGGAAATAACAGTGTTGGTGAGGATGTGGAGAAACTGGAACCCTTGTGTATTACTGATGGGAATGTAAAATGGTACAGCCACTATGGAAAACATTTGCAGTTCCTCAAAAAGTTGAATACAGCATTACCATTAGCAATTCCATTCCTAGGTTTATACCCCAAATTATTTAAAACAGGGACTCAAAAAAACAATCTGAATAGCAATGTGGCATTATTGACAATGGCTCAAAGGTGAAAAAAACCCAAATGTCCATCAACAGATGAGTGGATAAACAAAACGGGGTACACACATACGATGGGATATTATTCAGCCATAAAAAGAAATCAAGTTCTGATACATGCTAATACATGGATGAATCTTATGAACATTATGCTAAGTGAAATAAGTCAGACACAAAAGGATAGATATTGTATGATTCTACTTATATGAAATATCTAGAACAGGCAAATTCATAAAGACAGAAAGTCTCTTGAATAAACAGGTTACTACAGGCTAGTGGTGGGGGAAAATAGAGAGTTATTGCTTAATGGGTACAGTTTTTACTTGGGATCATGAAAAAGTTTTGGAAATAGTGGTAGCAACAGCATTTGAATATACTTAATGTCACTGAATTGCATATTTAAAAAATGGTTAAAATGATAAATTTTATGTTATGTACATTTTACTACGATTTTAAAAGTTGTCAGTTTTTCTCAAGAACTTTATCAGGACTTTAGATTTTCTTTCTCCACCCCTATTTTTTTTTTCAGGAATAAAGGGGAAGAGAGGCTCCAAATACAAATTTACCTAAGTTTTTATACCTATCAATGGACTCATTTTAAAATATAGCTTTTCCCCCTTATTAAATACTCATATTATAGAAAAATTTTAAAAAGGAAAGAAAAGGATTAATATCAAACTCCACTATTAGCATTTTGTATGACTTTCTCATCTTTTTAAGAATGGAGCCAAATGTATGCCCATAATAAATTCCCATAGTGCTGAACCACAGAACAAGTGAGTACCAATCTCATCAATAAGTTACCAGATCTGGTTGCATGTTTCACAGAAACTTAGCCTAAAGTACTCTAGTACTCTTATTTTACTTTGAGATTTTTAAACGGAAAACAGTGTGACATTACTTGTGACACCTCTGCTTTCTGAAAATGATGCACTGTTCTTCCTACTCTCCTCTGGAATACAGAGAACAGCTTGTTCTTTCCCTTTAAAAGTTACCTGGCTACCTAATTCAGAAAACCTTTTTCAGTGCTTTTGATGAAAAACATCTGAAAGTGATATGGTAAGTTATGGGCATAGAGAAATGTGTTTTTACATTTCTTTTTTCATCTGTCTGATTTAGTTTCTCTTGCTCAGGAAGTAAAGGACACACAACAGAGAACCACATTATCTCCATGAGTTTCAGATATATGTTTGATAAACATAAGAAATGAGAAAAAAAGTAGGTAACTCAAATGAGTTTCTTCCCATACTTCCAATTCACTGTCCTGAGAAGAGCTGGCATCAGCTTTCCTCTTGCCCCGGTTCTTGCCAGTCATGTTTTTCCTGGATTGGTCATCAGCCTCTTTAGCTGATGTAGTTTGGGACAAAGATGGGCTTGTAGAAGAGTCTCCTAGAAAGGAAAAAGAGACATATTGCCAGTAGTCAGAGGCTCTAAGAATCAGAGCAGGAAGAGGGTCAGCATGTTCTCTGCCCTTAAGGATAATATTGCAAGGTAGAGACTGGAAAACCAAACTTTAGCTAAGCAATTTGGGAATGTAGACCTAGGCACTGAGCAACAATAGCTGCTAACATCTAACATCAAAAAGAGCTATAACCAGAATTTATATGCCTGTCTCCCAATGAAAGAACAGATCTATGAAGCTGTTTTGCCAAAAAAACCACTGAACCTAAATCTGATCAAGCTTCTAGATAGAGTCTCAACTTGACACAACTGACATTGGGCTAGAATAACTTTTGCTGTGGGGGCTGTCCTGTGCACTGGAGACTGTTTGGTTAGCATCCTTGGCTTCTACCCACTGGATGCCAATAGTACCCGCCACCCAGTGTGACAACGAAAAACATTTCCATTCAGGGCCAAGTGTCCTGGGAGGATGGGCAGTATGGTACAAAATCACCTCTATTGAAAACTACGGGTCTAGATCCAATTACCAATTTATAAAAAATACAGAAGGTAGCAGGACATGTTAAACAACCCAAACATATACAATTGGCAAAATTTATAATGGGAAACAGTATCAGATAAATAACCCTGGTTCTTTAACAAATAAAGTACAAGGGAGAATAAGAAAAGAGATGAGGGAATTTATAGTTAAAAGAGACACAAAATAAATATCCACCAACCCCAATGTATAAACCTTACTTGGATCCTAATTTAAGAAAACTGTAAAGAGAAAAACAAAAATCCTAACATTTATGAGCAAACTATAAATATAAATACCTTTTGGAATTTTATGATAGTAAGGAATTATTGTTGAATATTTTAGATGGAATAATGGCACTGTGGTTATGTTATTTAGTATTTATCCTTTAGAGATATGATGCCTGGAATTTGAGGAGGGAATTAATTGTTGAAGAAGGATGATGCATACGTAAGAGTTCATTATACTAATCTGACAACTTCTCTCTGTACCTGAAATTTTCCATTAGGTCATGAAGAACAAAGATATTTAGGGGAATGAATTCAAAACTAAGGCATCAACACATGTAATCATTTCAAAGTTATGTAAGTTTGAAACAGCGACCATCTGTAGGCCCATTTACTTAGAAGACTGCTAAAAGTAAAATGCGCAGAAAACTGCTGTAGTTGATGCACAGTACTGTTTTCAAAACTACATCAGTGCAAACAATAAACAGTCATTCCTCAAGTTAGATGATGTGTCAGTGAGTAACCAAGTTTTCATGAAAAATACAGAAAAATAAAGTCTTTATGTCAGGTTTTTAAAAAACCTGGACATAATTCTTCAATTCATTCAAAGCTAAATGTATAAATTTCAGTATTTTCTTTAAATTTGCAGGTTAAATTTTATGTATTTCTTTGGGGGAAAAGGACCATAGCTTTCCTCAGAATCTTAAAAGGATCCATGACACAGAAAAAGTTAAGAACTACAGCTCTTAGGTCTTAGCAGAAATCCAAAATAAGCATAAACTAAAACTTATGTCTTCCAACTTTACAAAATGTGCCAAAATTCTGAAGTTCCTTGTGACAAGCATGTTAAAACTACAGGAGGGGCACAGGAGGAGTCTCTTCATTCTTGGTACTTTTCTGTTCAAATTGTCAGGCATTATATTCAGCTTGCCAATGACTCATCATATTCCAGTTGCAATGTTTAATACTCCTCACCCAAGAGGGAAAGCCAACAGCATGGTAACAGTGACTTAGACCAGAATGAAATAATCTTCACCATCACTTGTTGAACAAAGCACCCTTAAGCCAAAGTTTTTAGAGCTGCAGTGCTTACCAGAGGAAAGTCGCTGAGTTGCAGATGCAGGGACCATGACATTAGGCTTCTCTGTCTGGTATGTGGTTGCTGCTAATGTGGTGCTCTCAGCATCGCTGTTCGTCTGGCCTGTGACTCCAAAGCTAGAGCTGGGGTAGCAGGCCTGGTACTGACTCTGACCAAGAATAGTATAGGTGGGATAGTCCTGTAGACCAAAGAGAATAAGGGAGAAAAATAAGACTCTTAGAAAGTCAACACAAGAGACTTTCATGTCCCTCCTATTCATAATTATTTTCCTAAAACACTGGTCTGACTTCTCATTTACTATCTCTATCTTAAACCTAAACCAGTGATTTTTGAAATGCATTCTGTGGAAACCTAAGAGACAGGCGATGCCTCAGGGGCTGTCTCTGGCATGAGGGGAGGGCTGAGAGGGAAGGGACCCAAGCACTTGTATACAATGTCCACTTTTCTACTATAACAGCTTTTTTTTTCTTTTCTATTTTATGTACTGAATTTCTACATAAAATTTTTAAAGGAAGGCGTTTACTTTTTAACAAGTTTATAAACCACTGCACTAGATAGTAGTGCTTCTAAGGACAGATGAGCTTAAACAAAGAAGCACATTTCCTATATTTAATTTTCCTGGTCAAAAAAATATATTAAAAAAATTATTTAAAAAAATAATAAGGGTTTCTTTAAAAATGAAGTTTCTTTAAAATATTCAGAGGGAACTTTTGGTGGTTTTACAGGCACATACATGTCACAACTTATCAAATTGGACAATTTAAGCCTGTGCTGTAAAAACTAGGTATGACATACAGTTTAAATAACACCTTTTAAAAACTCCTTTGATACTGATGCTGGTAACAAGTTGGAAGAAGCTAAATGACCAGACCGATTATTTATAAAGAGTACTGAATCTCTACCACACCAAATGTAATTCACAGCATGTGCTGGTATATGGGTGGGAGAAGGGAATACTAAAGAAAAGAGTAAGTCAGACTAGCTGAACTCAAGGGAGTTAAAAATCTAGCAGGAAAGACAAAAAATTTCTAACAAATTGGCAATCAACTATACACATGAGAAAAGTAGAGGGGAAGACAACTACCACTGCAGACTGCAGTCAGAGAGCTTTCTGAGATCAAGAGGGGACAGAAACATGAACAAGCCCTGAGAAGGTTTTATCAAGGAGCCAGAGATGCTGCATCTGGTTGGAACAAAGGACCTCAGCAGGCTTGACTGAACAGTTAAAGAACAAGACTTGGGTTCTTTAGGTTATGTGAGGGTGGAAAATGGGGATTATCAAATTCAAATCAACAAACAAAAATACAAAGTTTCTGAGAAGAGGAGTGACAGGATAAAAAGTGGCCTTTGGGGAAAATTAATCAAATAGTGTTTTAGAAAAATGGATGGTACAGGAAAAAACTGGAGATGAGAACTATGGTCATTCAGAATTAAAGAGGAAAAAACCGAAACATGGAAATGACAGCAAAAATGAAAAACAAAGAAAGCATTCCAGAAATGGCTGGATTAGGGGTGGTTGAGAAAAAAGAAACTGAAGAATACTGCTCTGGTTTTAGGCCTAGGTTTATTTAAAAATTGTGTCATTGACAAGAACTGAGAAGTCATAGAGAACAATGGTTTTATTTCTGGAAAACAAGGAGACAAAAGAGGCTGGGATGAAAGGCTAGTTTTAGGAGTTCTAAGTTTTTATGGTAAATTTGGGGAAACAGCAGGACATTAAAGAAAAAATGTCCATCAATTAGTAGGAAGCCTATAGATATAATGAGGTCAGGACCAGAACCTTTGGAGACAGTAAATGAACACTGTGAATGTGGTTAAACATTCCTGGGATTAAGTAATACATGTGGAAAACTAAATCAACTGTCCACGACAAAAGATAAGATCAGAAAGAAAAGCTATGAAAGGGAGATAGATAGATAGTGCCCTGAAGAGTGCCAGCATATAGCAGAAGCTTAACAAATGTTTGTGGACTAAAAGAACGAACAAATGCCAAGAAAGACAACCATACAAAGTGAACCAGAATAGCAATGTTAACTGAACCCAGAAAAAAAGATCCATGGAGACAGTGCTTGATAATGCTAATTGCTGCAGAGAAAACAAAAATATAACAAAACCCAAAACCCTAAAACACTGAAGATGTTACCAGTGATCTAAGCATATAGAGTTAAGAGAACTGTGATGAAGACCAGACCACAAAGAATTCACAAAGGAATGAGTGGTTAAGTTAAAAAGTGGAATATTTATTCCTTTCGTAAATATTTATTATGTCCTTTAATATGAGTGCCAGGCATTTTTCTGAACTCTGGGAATATATAAATGAGCAACATAGAAAAATAAATCCCTACTTTCATGGAACTTACATTTTAGTAGGAATGGGATAGGAGGTAGATAGACATATAATAGAAAAGGAACAGACGTTAATTGTATCATCCAGAGACTTAGCAGAGGAATGAGAGAAACTAGACGGTAGCCTGAGAAACCATCCAGGGTCCTAGTACTGAGGGCTTCCAGAGAAAGGTCTCCCCACAGCCCATACTGGTTGTTTCTTACACTGGCTAATTCACTGTGGAAAGAAGAGGGGAAGAGCAAGCCAGATACACCAACCCAAATAGGACGAACAAAAAGTAGCACAGTACCTGGCTTGAGATGCTGGAAACTGCTGCTGCTGGAATATTGGCAACTGTAGATGAAGTGGGTATCAGGCTGGCATTTGTGCTTGAAGCTATAGGATGGAGAGTGTTTAAAGATTAAAGATACCATGCAAACGGCCAGAAGAAATTGAAAATACACTGTGTTTTAAGTAAACAGATCTACAAGGAGATCAAGAACACTGGCAAAGGAAACAAATACTGGTTTTCTGCTTTTGCATGCCAAGACTTAATTTAGACTTGTTTAGAAACAAAACAGTTCAAACCTTTTCTGTTTCAATTTGAGTTTTCAATTCTTCCTACTAAAGTTCTAGAAGGATACATATACAATATATTGGCTCATACTAACAATATCAATGAAATCAGAAGCTAAACCAAAATTGCTCTAGTCCGTCTTCTCAGACAGTTAGAAAATGACTCACCTGCAATGGGATCACCTGCTGACAACTGATAAACACAATAGCTCTGGTAAACCCACATGCAAATCCTACACTGTGTTATCTACTGTCATTGTCCCAAATCTTTATAGATGCAACATAATGACTTTGAGAAATAGAGCTGGTCCTCCAAATTCTAAAGTATTAGGAGTTGCTCCTTGTGCTCTACTCAAATAATGGATTACTAATGTGGATCCACAAACACCATAATATGGCATTTAATGATTTTACCAATGAGCCTAGAAAAACTTGGAAAATATTAAATACTATTCTGGCCAGGTAAAAATATACTCTACAAGCTACTTAGGATGCCTGTCTTGGGACAAAGATTCAGGGTAAATTTTTCATACCCTTCTGTCACAGATCCCACATTTTTAATTAAATCCCCAATACCTACATTTGCTAGAGGGATTTTTTCCAGGTGGACAAATGTTACTGAGACTGTGAGGTGCTGGTCTTGAACTCCTTCCTCACTTACCATAAACACACTTAGACATGGTTGACATGGTTCCCACTGTAGTTACGCATACCATTAGGGTTCACCAGCATGTACACATGACTGTCAGACTATGCCATTAGCAACAAAGTCCTCTAGGGGGAAAGTCAATAGGAAAACCTCTATTAAGAACAGGGCAGATAACAAATGCAGAAGAAACTGGAAAAGTATTGGTCAAAATCAGAGAGAATTTTTATCCTTTTTCCCAAGGGTACTCTGCTTAGAATAAAGACTAGAAGAGATTAAGATTTAACTAGATATAAAGAACAGCTATTGCTGCAACCCCATCTTTCAGATGAAGAACTTGGGACAAATCAAGAGTTAATTTGTCCACACTCACAGAGCTAGTGGTAGACAGTCAAGATGATAACTGGGATCTCCCAATTATTCATCAAGTGCCCTTTTCCAGTCAGTGGCTGAGCTAGGGATCAGATTTCCTGAGTTTCCGGGAGATTTTCTTTTCTAAAGTACTTCTTCCCTGAAGGGAGCTAAAGGACTTCTAAGAGTTTACTTTCTTAAACCCAACAACTAAATGAAATAGATTTTATAACTTTACAGAAGTATTTTCTTCTCACCAATGTTCACCTTCTTTTCTACTGTGGCTTAACCCACTTTTTTCCAAAGGGGAAATACTAAGAAATTACTATACATAGGCTAGGTGACTCTGTAAGCACTTTCTAATCATTCTTGTGGGTAAAGAATTTTGAGTAGATTCCAGATTCTATTACCAGTACATTATGCTAGGCAGGCCTGCAGTTACAGACTGAATCTAGGTGATTAAAGGCTGGAAAGAAAAATGAAGAACTTATTTATTTAATCTTCTACATTTATCTTTCCCAGCAAAGTCAATTTCCAGCTCAGTATTTCTTTGGCCTTCGTTGTAGTCTATACTCCTTTCTTCCTCCTATTTACCTTTAATTCTGTTCTGCCTTCTTAATAAATTATAAATGATTAGAAGTATAACTTATTCATATCTTATCTCTACACACATGGGAAAAAGGTACTCTACTGACAAGGTGGTTTTATAAATTTAACAATTTTTAGGCCACTTGCTGAATTGGGCTTTAAGTAAATATAACTGGCCACATACTCTCATTACCTCTGCTAAGAAGTTTAATGACTTGATTAGCTAGCTGTTGATACTGTTCGAGTTTTTAACAAGTACCATACTAACAATCACAAATGACCCTCATTAGCAGTGGCTATCATAGGAAATGCAGGCCTGCCTACCTAGAAAGTTTATAGGGCTTAATAACCCTTCTTTTTCCTTTCAACTCGGTCAAATCATTTCTAACATGTGATTCATTCATTCGCTCAGCAAGCCAGGGTCTACTATGCACCAGAAACTGTTCCAGTTCCAGCCCGAGGAATAGAGATATGAACAAGATAAAGTCCCTGACCTCATGGAGTTTAAATTCTATTGACAGAAGTTAGACAATAATTAAAGAAATAATATTTATTTAGGCTCTTGTAACCATCAAACCCAAGCTAAACTTACCTAAAGATGCACAGAATTACTGCATGGCCTCCCCCCTATACAGCTATGATTAAAAAGCCACATACCTCATAAAAATGTATTGATCATCCTGCATATATATCCATACATACACATGTAGATCTCAACAAAGACTATTCAAGTGCAGAATTAACAAACAAAAGCAGCAGCAATAAAATTGCCAACAAAAAGTACAAAATTTTATTGATCATAAGATCAAATAAAACTCAAGTGGTAACTCCTACTGACATATCTCTAAAGGCTACTAGCTCTCCAAAAGCCAGTGACATGGGCAACAGTTTTTAGTCTCAACTCCAGTTTTGATAATGGAGCTGTGAAAGCACAGAAAGATAAAGCTTCTGAGAACTGTGGCCAACTAGAGATATATCTAATATAGTCAAAATAAAGAGAACTTTAATCAGAAGACTGGTTACACAACTATGAGAGGTACAGTTGAATTAAGTGACACTGCCCCAAAGGGGGATGGTTAACCCAAGGGTTAATGGCACACGAGATTAACTTTTACCCACCTCTTTAATTTGATAGATGTCTATCACCCTTGCTCCCCATGACTTCTGAGTTACTCAAAACAAGACAAGCTCTTTCTCATGTGAAGACCTTTGCAGTGTTGTTCCCTATGCCTGGATTGGTCTCTCTGGCCTGCCCATCTTGCCCTTCCAGCAAGATGGCTCCTCCTCAGCATGTCTACTTCCTCAGAGAGACTTTCTCTGACCCCTCTATGAAAACTCCTTTCTTGTTTTCCCAATCATAGCAATCTATTCTTTTTTCCTTTCAGAGCACTTCTCAAAATCTATTTATTTACTTGCTTGTTTTCTGTTTCCCCCACTAGTTTGTAAGCTCCAATGAGGCAGAATCTGACTATCCTATTATCTCTAAAAGCTAGCAAAGTGCCTGGCATAAAGCAGGTGATGATCAATAAATACTTCTGGGATTCATGTCTATCTTATAGCCATGGATATTCCTGTATAGCTTGTGGGATTCATGTATGGCATGTCAAGATCATCAAAAACAAGGCAAGTCTGAAAAACTGCAGTTATTAAGAGGAGTCAAAGGAGACCTAACAAATGAAATGTAGTATCGTGGATGAGACCTTGGAACAAAAAAAAAATGACATCAGGTAAAAACTAAGGAAATCTGAATAAAGTACTCAGTTAATAATAATGTACCAATATGGGTTCATTAATTATAACAAGTGTTCCAATCTAAAGTAAAATGTTAACAACAGGGGAAACTGAGCAAGTCTGGGGGATATATAATGTTCTGTACCATCTGTTCAATATTCTATAAACTTAAAACTATGCTAAACAAGAAAGTATTTTTAAAAAGAAAACAAATCTCCTGGTCAGTAAAAGGTTATTGTGTATTACCAACAATTTTGGAGACCAAAAACATTCATTAGAAATCAAGATTGAGTTAAAATTCATTTTGAAATATCTGAAATTAATTTTGCCACTTGAATATTAATCACTTAAGCCATCTCCACTGAAGAAAAAAATAACCAGAGATTGGGCCATATAGTCACAACCTAGGAAAAGACTGATACAAAGAAGCCAGATCTACTTAATTAAAGGGTTTCATGAACACTGAGTTATAAACTAAAGAAAAAGTTTTGATTGGAGTTGATCAAACCCGAAGTGGAATTTGGTTTTAGAGACAATTTCCCTACTTCCCCCAGGGAAGATGGGCTATTTTGAACAGTGGAATGCTTTGGGGGTAGGATGAGGAGACACTGCTGTTTCGACCACTTAAAAAACCAAACCAAACTAAACCTACAATGCTCTTTGCTTTTATTCTGTGGAATGACTGCATAGTTACATAGGGGAAAGAAAGAAGCCCTGGATAGGTAATATTCATTATCCATGCTCAACGAAATGAAAAGAGGGGGTGGGAGAAGGACAGCAATAGCAGAGAACCCAGGTAATTCCAATCTGCCAATAATGCCCATATTTCATTTTAGCCAATTATTTCAATTTGTTTTCTACCAGTTTTTTCTTCAGAATAAATGGCAAAAATCAATTAATTTGATGGTTAACTTCTGCTTTGATGTCTATCCTGTACCAAAGTTTTAATGAACAATAAAATTGGCCATTAGGTTAACCAGGAAAAGAGAAAAAAAAGTAAGATATTTGTCAGTATAGGTTCTCGACTATGGGAAGCTATCAATACCACGACTTCAATACTGAATATCACAAATATTGCCCTCATGCTCAGACTGCCCAGCTTACCTCCTGACTTAATTATTTGCTAATTTTGTGACCTTAGACAAGTTACTTTGCTTTTCTGGGTCTTAAGCTCCCCATGTATAAAATGGGGTTAATAAGAGTACTTCTCTCATAAGGTGTGTTGTGAAGATTACATGAGTAACACCTATCTACCTACTCCTTGAAATAATAAGAACATAGTAAGCACTTACTAAATATCAGCAATAATCATTATTAGCAAAATGGGGGAAAACAATTTAATTGATCAAAAGGGGAATAAGGTACTAACAGAAAACAAGTTAGGATAGTGGTTAATGAAGTTTAAAGGATGTTTTTGTGACCCTTTTAACACAACAAGTCCTAAAAGATGCCAAAACAGAGGTCCCTCTTATTTTACAAGGGAGAGAAGTAAGCATTAGCTATCAGGTTCATCAAATCTAAGTAAGATACAACTACTACAGAGGAGTGGTGGCTCTAAACCTTGGGAGAGAGTTAGTAATATATGAGAACCCTTTCTTTTTCTTTCCTGATCTAAGTGTATCATCGGGGATATATGTTTAGGGGAGACTTGGCTACTAGATTTGCCTGCAGTTGGACCCCAAAGGCCTACCAAGCTAGAGAAATACTTCATAAACAAAGTCATGTTCTTGAGTTTTTCACCTCCTCGTTTGTTCCCATTTTAGAAAGAAAGAAGGGGGAAGGAACAAAGAAGGAAAAACAAGTAAGAAAAGAACTCAGTAAAAAACAGGAAGGTAAAGGTAGCTCAGAGCAAGGTCTTAGGAATGTAGTGACCAGTTCTGTTCCCAATGGGCCAAGCCGAAGTAGTTTTCAATCATAATTGCAAACAGTTAAATCTGAAAATCAAAATATTTTAATATAATCAAAATATTTTATCACCTAAATTAATATTTTAAGAATACCTCAGACCAGCTTTTATTGTCCCACCCACAACCCCCTAAATTTCATAAGGAATAAAATTTAAAAGCTGAGAGAAATCAGGAGAAAGGACAGACAAAAGCCAGGTAAATGGGAATGAATTCGCAGTGTACAGCAATGACAAACTACCCACACTGGATCTGGAAGGGTAGGAAATTAATTCCACTATGCCTTTTGAGTTTCTCTGTCTTCTTTCCAAATTGTCCAGTCATCATTCTAAGCTTTTAGAGGAAGAACTGGGAAGGCAGAGCTGTTTAAGAGTTCAAGCTTTAATGCTATGCTTTTTGTCATGAAATGGAAACAAGATTGAATTTTTTGAGCAAGAAAAATGCCCCATGTAGTAAATGGTGGTGGAGGTATGACAAAACCACAGCAGGAAAGCAGCACACATCTCACAAAGCACCTCTCATCTCAATCCACTCTATTTGGACTTCACACAAAAGAAGTCATCAAATTTCTAACCCATGGAGTTGTCTGCTCACATACAGGAAGGACAAAATGTCACTGAGAACAGACTGGAACAAAATCAGACAGGTTTTCTGGACACCAACCTGCAAAAGGAAGGCTTCAATTCTACTATTCACATTCAAAGGCTAAACTACTTATAAACCACGTTCCTAGGTTCTGGTTTGCCTAACACAAAAAGCATGCACAAATGTAAATATCACCCCCTTCTATTTTAGAAGACAGAGCTCCTGTATTACCCAATTTGTCTGGAGATACAGGTGGATTCAAAACAAAAAAACAATAAAGAAAAAAAAAACACACATACACACAACCATGCCTATTTACCTTGAATAGGGTAAGAATAATGTGCTGGGCTTGGCTGGCTTGTGGTTAACCCTGTAGTGCAGGTAAGAACACTGTGTTGACTTGGAGATGGAGTCTGAATTAAACCACTTTCAGGTTTCATACCTGGCCACAAAGAACACTGTGTTGACTTGGAGATGGAGTCTGAATTAAACCACTTTCAGGTTTCATACCTGGCCACAATGCACCTGAATCAGATAAATTGGACCAATTACAAACAATACACTGGGACTGAGGAGCATGGTTATGCTTTCAAATATCAGCCAGTAGGTTTAATAAATAAATCTTAAAACAAAAATAAATTTGCTTGTAAGAGAAAATTACTGATTCTCCAATTCATAATATACCACAAGCAAATACCATTTCAAAGAATTGGGAAGTGGGGTCATAGAAACAAAATCTTGTCAAAAACCCCAAATAGTGATAGGTATGTAAGTTCATTTCAATGGTTGGGGAAACTGACCAGGGTTCAGAAAAAAAAGCTACTGACATCCAACCAGAATATTTGTTGTAGAGAGTGCCTGATGATCATGTACAGTGATAAATCATTTATCTGCATTGTCAAGGTGGGACACATTCCACGTAAGTTTAAAATTCACTTACCCATTAAACAAGCACCAAATTTTTCTAAAATGTATTAAATACTTCTCTGCCTTCTTAAGATGGTTATTTTGTTACTTTTGTTTCTTCTGATTAGGACAGACATACCTGCTTATTTTTATAAATTAAAAACATTACAGAAGTACGTAACATGTAACTTAGAAAAAAATAGTCATATATAATCCCATCATCCAGACTTAAACACTATTAACAGTTTACTGAACAGTCACTCAGATTTCTTCTATGTATTTATCAATCACTTTTTCTCCTTTTTAATAAAAATGGGATATTGTAAATATTGTTCATACTTCGCTTCCCTGAGAGACATCTTTCCATGTTACAACATGTAAATCTACCTCATATTGATAGACATCATAGCTATTTACTTTTATTTTGATCACAACGCTCCTGAGAGACAGTCTTTCGGAAATATATTTACATCCTTTCCTGCCTTCTTAGTAGGGAGGAAATGGTGAACATACCTTTGGATTTCCTCAGGATTATTTTTATAAAGAGCAACACTGCTGTGTTATCTACATTATTACAGAGACATCCTTAGAGGCTATGATGATATGTGAAGACATGTGCTTAGTACCAAATAGGATTCAATTATAGTTCTATGATTTTTGGGCTCTTATATCACTGTCTTTTCTTTGTAATCTGTCACTTCCTGACATCTCTCTCTGACTGTGTCTCCCTTTTCATTTGCAGTAAACTGGGAAACCATAAACAAAGCTTTGCTTCTACATGAGAGTCTAAGGATGTCCTTTATCAGCAAACAGTTTTTGTGGTAATTTTGGCTATGCTAAAGTCTACTTATAAAAAATTTTACTGTCTGGTTGTTCACTGTGTTTTGAGTAGCTATGGCTGCTGGATCAGTGCAGTTAAAGGTGATAATTAGGTTGAAGAAGTTCATCAATCAAACATATTCCAGGTAAGAAATCAATACCAAGGTCAGCCACAGCTTCAAATTCAATATTAACTCCAAATCTGATAAGGAATTTGTAAATATAATACTTTCATAATAAATATATGCTTCACCAGGCACTGAGATATCCTAGTGCAACTCAGATCTATAAATCTGTTGTTAAGTAAATTTAAGAATATTAAAGGGAGATGTGAAAATCTTAAAAGGTTGACAAGGGGACATGGTAACTGCCTTGCCCTAACACTTTAAGCATTCAAGTCATATTCCTTTCTTACCTACTAAACACATGAAATGACTTATTTGAGGAGACTGAGGAATATCAACACATCTAACATGAATTATGAGGGTTGACCCCCCTTCTACCCTTAATTCATAATTATTTAAAAAGTTTTGTCCAGGTTAGCCAAAGATAAAGTCCTAACTATATCTGATGCTCATCAGTAAAATATTTAAGAATGTTATCTTTCAAACACTCATGATGTTAAATTTAAATATCAGTGCCATGATTCTTGGTGGGTGAGTATCACATTTTTTAGTAAACAAATTGCCATTTCAATGGCACAATAACTTTCAGATTTACTGTAATCAACATCATTTTTTTTCCTAAATGGGCTCTGAAGCTAACGTTTTGGATTTGTGAACATGTTTATTATTACACTGTACTAAAATAAAATACTATCTTATTAATATAGTATAACAGAATGTTTTGCTAGTCTAATTGCTTAATATATATTTTCTAAATTTCAAAATTTAAAATATCTATAAACTAGCCCTTCTTGTAAGATCATAAGTAGGGCAAAATATCCAAGACAAGTAGGGGAATAGCTAGTTTTGAATATTTTTGGCCAAAACCACAAAGCAGATATTTAATTATAAATACTTTTGAAGAATAGAGGAATAAAAGACAACATGGACACTCCCTTCCAGCATCACTGCAGTTCAGTTCTTTAAGCATATAAATATCTTCCTTCAAAAGGAAGTAATTCCAAGTAATAGGCAGCATGACTGAAAGGTTTGACTGTAGACCCCCACTGCCCACAGCGAAGACAATACCAAATCCTAACGTCCTTACTCCTGGACCACTGCTCTATGTCTGTAGTCACAAAGCTTCTTGAGTCATTGTAAGCACCAAAGCCTGATATGGAGCAACAGCTGGTCTACCAAGCGAAGTCTTTTTCTGACTGCTGTCCTCCTGCTGCCCCACACTGGGGTCTTATCAGAAACTCTACGCAAGTTTCTCAGCACCAACATTTCACTCTCTATTGGTTAGTCACTAACCAAACTAATCTCAGTAGTTCGATTTATACGAATACATATCAGAGTAGCAGAGCTTTACAGAATTAGTTTTGTTTGGAATTAAGTACAGGTCAATGCTAGAAAAAAAAACACAAGAAAGAATACCTTAGTTTGTTGATTTAACAGCTCATTGGGTTAAGCTATTGTAAATACTAAGTAATTTAATCTGAATGCTTTTTCTAATTATAAAATAAGTAGATGTATCTTATGGAAAATTAGGAAACTACAGAAAGTTTAGAGAAAAAAAATCTCATAGTCTCACAACACAGAAAAAAAAAATACAGGCAATTCTTTCTTGCTTTTGCACAGGAATATATTAACTGAAACCTGTGCATACTAGAACCGTGTCCTTGCTTTGCATGACTCCATGGTAACGGAGATCAAATCTGTAGTGCTTATACTGTTAACATTCACATTTGTTCCTCCAAATTATTCTTTATGTACGTATTTTTAAAAAATGCTAAGTTGGCATAGTATAGTTTTCAGTTTTACATACTCCTTTTTTCAATCAATAATAAGGTATTTTCTCAAGACACTAAATATTGTTTAAGAATATGATATACAATGGTCAGTTTCCCATTCTATGGATATACTGCAATTTAACATAACCTTTGAATTTAACATGTAGATTGTTTACAATCTTTTGCTATTATAAATAATGCTGCTATGAATACTTTAATAAATTTTTATGGGTATCTGTACTTAGTTTCATAGGATAAATTCCTAGAAGTGAAATGACTGAAGGAAATGGTATGAACATCCATAAGGCTCTTAATATACACTGTATTACATTAAAGTTCTCACATTAAAGTTCTTTTAAAAGAAGTTAGAAAAGTGGCAGCTATGACAATATTTTATTAGCCCTAATAATAAATGAGAACCCCTTTCCTCACACATATTCATTCAGATCACTGCAAGTTAAACCTCTAATCTTCTTTCGGTCATCCCATCACATCTCTATATAGCTCTGAAAAAAACATGACCATTATTCCTTTACTTTAAAGATTACTCATAAAAAAAGGGCTTCCTGGATTTCCTCTAGTCTTTTCTCCTTTCTTTAAGAGGAGGAAACATAAATTTCAAACTCATCTCTGAAATTATTTTTTTCAAATAGACCTAAATTATAAACACTTTCAAATTAAACAAACCTGGGTTCAATTTTAATCCCAGGCATTTACTAATTGTATGACCTCAGGCTAGTCATTTAATCCTTCTAAGCTTGTGTCCATATCTATAAGAAGGTATAAACACTTATGCTAGGCTTACTTTTTAGGATTGTTCTGAGGATTAAATAAGACAACAATGTAAAGTGTGAAGTACTTACTCTTAGCATACTGCTTGGTATAGTAAGCACTCCATAAACATGAGAAAATATTACAGTAAGATTTTCCTGAAGCCCTCTTTACATCTGAAACAACACAATACACTCACTAATCTAGTCTTAGTGGTAATAGGGCAGCCCTGAGATAACAAAATCACCAAAATCTTCACAAGAAGAAATGAAGTGTTTTATATTTGAGTGAACAGTTAAAAAAAAAGTCACATGTTAAAACATAAGAAAATGTCTTTTAAAAATAGTCACTTTAAAAAGTATTAGAAATCTTTCTTTATAATTTTCTTTATAAATTCTGAGAATATACCGTATCTACTATTCATATTACCCCAACCTAAATCTCTCTCCAGTACACTCACATACTATGTAGAGTCAAAGTAAATTAATAATTATCTCCTTCTGAATTACTGAGAGAAGAACTTGTGAAACAAGCCTCTCTCACACCAAACATTAAACAGGGATCTATTTTACAGAATTTTCTTTCTTTCTTTAATACAGGGGAAATGCTATGATCATAAAAGATACCACAATGTTTAGGACCTATGTGTACAGGGGCACTATGTTAGGTACTCCATAATTTGAATTCAGAGATGTAACAACTTTTATTTAATATTGAACAGCAAGAATGAGCAACTATTTAACAATGTCACAATGAGCTTTGGGCTTGCCAATAATGAATTTAAATCAAAACAGAGGGTGAAAAAACAATGTGAAAGTATTGATTTTATACTTGTTAGCCTATTATTGGGCAACTACTGAAAAATTAGCTTTAATATATACAAAAAGAAATAAACATAAACATATTCACAGAGAATTCTGCTTCCAAAAAGACTGCTCAGACTTGACTGGTTAAATGTAACAGAAATTTAAGATTTTAGCACACTGGCTGATACTGACAGGCATCAAAGTCATGGAAATACAAATGGGGAAATAAGAGCATTTGTTTCTCTTCTCTCACGAAGTTATCAATTACCACTATCATTAAACACAATCCTTAATTTCTATTTCGAGAAGTTATCAGGAGCCAAGGAATCCAGCAAGTCTAAAAGTCAGAAAGCTGTCACTCTCATAAAAGACTAGCCAAGTGGACCAGCAAAAGTAGGAATGTAGAAACTTAAAACAGGTAACACTAATACATCCAGAATCTGTGGTGGTTTTGAAGATTTTTCCAATTTCCAGCTATTTTCAGTAAAGGCTACAGGGATATAATTTTATTAAAATATTACATATTAAAAAATACATACTGTCTTGATTTTCTGATACCAGTTCTAGGAAACCAGGGAGAAGGCAATAAAGCCTAATGCATATATCTATCAATTTATACACACACAGCAAGATCAGCACAGATATTGTGACCAAAGAATCTACAACTAACTTCTAGTAAATCATTTAAATTAATTTACAGTTCATATCTAAGATACCTAAGCCAAAGAACAAAACTCTCTATGCACATGACAAGCTTATACAAAACTGGGGATTTTCCCCATGCAAAGATGACTATTTGGCTCAGCAGAGCAACTTATCAGTTTGGAGCAGGGAGGGAGGAAAGAGAAGGGAGAAATTGACTTAAAAAGGCAAGAAAGGTATATTCTACCTGGATATTTGGATTATCTGATTTTAGCAAGAAACTGGGTACTTCAAAATATACTTATTATGCTTAGCTAATCATGGGACCATGTTTTGTATGTAATAATTCTTTAGAGTTTTCAAATACTTTAAGATTCCAAGCTTTACAGTAAAAACTTAGTAACTTAGAAATTTGATAGATACACAAATGTGTACTGAAAAGTTAAGATTTTATATTATAGGCATCAAATCTACTGTTGGGAAGTTGTACCCTCAAATTCTATCACATCTGTAACTGAGGAGGTACTTCTGCAAAGAACAACCCATCTCATCAGTTTCCTGATCAGCCATGCTTATGTTTTGGGGAAAGATCAGTTTCCTGGGGATAAAATCAACATTCTTAGAAATTGCTTATAATATGATGACTTACCAAAAGGAGGTAGTCCATACGTTTGGGTTGCCTGAGGGTAGACAGCATAGGGCTGAGACTGCTGTAGTGTCTGGTACTGAGTCTGCCCAGGGTAAGCAGTTTCCGAAACAGGAACTGAGAGGATATGTGCATAAGGTCTATAAAAGTTCAAAACAAAACTTTCATGTGTGACTTATTTTAGTAATGAAAAATATAGGAAACAGCTAACACCACGAAAAACAAAGAATGAGCAACTACTAACCTTCCAAATAAAATGTCTCTTACTCTGGTCAGAAAGTAGAACTAATTTTTCCTGTCCAGCTTCTACTATCACCTACCTAAGAAACAATTTTATGGAAAATTTAATAGTTTCAAATATCCTCCCAAGGTCCAATTGCTATGCTACAAACATTTGTGGTGTGCTATATGCAAGGCCCTATGTGAGACCCAAGGGTGGATTAAACTTGTTTATTATGCCCAATGTCTACATACAGAATAAAACCCTAAAATAACAGAAAACTGGATAGAACTAGATCTGCTCTCATTTTCCACCCAGCCCTCTGGGCAAACTAAAGTTCTGAAAGGGAAAGTGGGACTTGGAAAAGAAGGTGGGGCTAGTAGAGAAAAGGCAAGCAACCACATTAGAAAACAGGGAGTAGGAGTGGGCCCCAATATTCCCAGGCCAAGCCTACAAAACAGGAGCCAGGTAACTAAAAAAAACCTGGGAGGTCCCAGACAGGATCAGAATCTCTCCACTCATATGTAAGCCAGAGTGTACCGATACTAGGTGGTATCAACCACATCAAGTTTAGCTAGGGATCTGAATTGAAATTTGTGGGACTTTAAACTTGCTAGCCATTTCATCCATGCAATAAAATGGTCCCATGTTTTACGCAGTGAATTTTTAGATACTGGTTATTTTATTTGGTGAGTTATGTTGTACTTAGAATGTAAGAAAGTAAGTGTTATATGCATCATGTAAGTCGTAACAATGAGATACTGGGGATAAGGAGTGTTTCAGAAGGAGAAAAGATTTTTTCAGCTTTGGGGAAAGGAAAAAGAAGGCTACAAAGAAGTGGTATTTGAACTGAACAGTTACAATGTGCAGAAATGGGAGAGAAAGGGTGTTCCAGGAAAAGAGAAAAACTTAGGAAAAAAGGTACAGAGGAAGGAAAGCAAGGACTTCAGCTTTCAAGAAGCATAGATTATATTAAGGGAAGTATATATATAAAGGGAAGCAAAGTAGCAAGAGAAAGAAAGATAAACAGCAAAGACCTTGAATACCAGGCTAAGGGAGTTCAGACAAATTTGAAACAATTGGGAGTCACTGAAATTGCTGAGCAAAGAGTGACAAGATCAGAGCTCTTCTTAAATAAAGACTAATTTGAGCTGCTTTATAAAATGCATTAGAAAGGGGAGAAACTGGAAGTAGAGCTCCAATTAAAAAACAATTTTAATGCAATGGTTCAGATAAATGGTAAGGTCTGAATTAAGACAGAAGGCATAGCTAATGAAGTGTATGCCCTGAATGCAGAAGGTATGCAAATATCTTTTGAATGAATTTGGACTATGCAACATATTCACATCTCAGTAGATTCTAAGAGACTGAATTTGAAGATTTCTATTCTTAGCTAGATCTGAGACCAGGAAATAGCTCAGGTTGTGATTATTAGGTCACATGGGAATGATTTAAAATCTCAGTGACTTCAAATGGATTTATCTCCAGATATGTTAAAGATCATAATATCCTTTTTCATATAGTGTCTTTATAGTTCAAAGTATTTTCTTATCTCCTTCACAATAATTTCAGAGAATAGGTTCAGAAATTTCACAAAAGAAAACTACATGAAATGACTAGCTCCAGGATGCTATTAGTGTTAATACAGGTTAGAATTTGAGAACTCATTGAGTTGCCTTTTAATTAGTTTTTTTTTTAACTGATGCAAGATTCAAAAGTACAAATGGGCACCAAAAGAAAAAAAAATTGCCAGTTTTCTTTTTATAACAGCCCCATGGGTATCACTCATCTGTTACAATTTCTTTACATATCCTGCACATAAGAATATATCCTAGTTTAATAAGCACACTTGTCTCTATCTGTGTATGTGCAGGCTCTTTATCAATGCACAATGGTAGCTTGGTATATGCATTGTTCTGCACCTACTCATCTTGGAAATGATTAACTTGGTGGATCTTAAAGGGAGATCTCACCCCCAAGAAGGCCCAAAATGTTGTCTCTTAGTGACTTCAACCCACTAACCTGTCTAACTTCAAGCCCAGTTCTACCTTGAAGACATTCCTGAAACAAGAAACTGAACATAGATTAGACTGAGAACTCCCAGTTTTGAGGCTGGCTTAATGGTTTTTATGATCCATCAATCAAGGAAGAGGAAAGAGAGGATGATCAGAGGTCAATCAGTGATATGCTTTGATCACTAACAGTATTTTTCATTTTCAATGCCTATTCATTTAGAGTAAGCTCCTGGGTGACAGTGATCTATTCCAGGCAGCCATCTACTTTTTAAAATGATGTTACATAGACTCTACTTAGAGGGGAAAAAAAAAATCAGAGTAGGGACAGAAAGAACAAGAGAGGTGAGAAAAAAGTTAAATATCAACTTAAATTTTGCAATGAACCTAGAGAAAAGCATATAGACTTTTGAAATAATTATTCAACTTACTTTGCAGAGTACATTTGTGAGGTATAATCATTGGATGAGCGAGGGATGTAATCGGTGCATGTCATAACTGAAAGAAAGATATCACCAAGTAAAAAGTTAGAACATCTCAAAAATGAAATGGGAAAACTGTGTATCTCACTGTATAACCTTTCAAACTAAGTAACAGAATACAGCTTGGCAATAAGAAATTTAGAAAGATTGGGCAGTAGAAAATACTTCATTTTTCTAATAATGGGTTTAAAGAATTTTAGAGACAGTAAAAGAGGTTAGCACATGGAGAATATGGAAAACTGCTGAAGGGTAGTATCAACTGATCTCTTCCTTCACCCATAAGTTATCTAAAACCACACATGAAGCAACCTCATAAGCTCTCAGCTTTGCTCATAGGCAAACTTAAAAAGCAAGATCCACATCTAGGAAAACACATCATACTTCAGCTTGCTCATTCTCTGGTTGCTTACTCTATTATGAGTAAAAGGCCATAAGAATGACTTGTAGGAAGACAGATATGGGGGAAGTACCCAATTTTATTAGAAAACTAATCAGTAGCAGAAAAGATGTAAGTATGCCTCTTCACTATTTTTTCTGCTTTGTAGTGACCGATTTCTGTTTGACAAAGCAGAGACAGACCTGAGGAACTGATGTGTGCTCTAATGAACCATTAGATAAAGAGTTTTCACAGCTAGTGTCCTCTTGACCCCGATGATTCATCTAGAATAGCTGCTGTGAAGGCCTGACCCTCAAGATTTCATCTGGGATAAGTGTTGTAAATATTCAACTCAAGTCTGACATATAGCAGTATTTCAATCCATGTTGTAGACAGAGTTGTGTCATAAAGAGCTTGTACCAGACTCTTGAACTGTTCAAGAACTTCCTTTAATAAGCCAATCAGGGGAATACAGGGTTATTTCTAGGTTTTCAGCTTGAGCAACTGGAGGGAGAGGAAACCACTTCCTAAGATGGGGAAGTTTGGGAAAAGAACAGATTTGATGGGGGCTAAAGGAATAAAAGGCTTTCACACATTTTAAATAGGATTTTCCTTTTAGATATCTAAATTGAGATGTCAAAGAGGCAGTTGAATACCCCACTAAAATCAGGGGGGATGTCAAACTAGCAATATAAATGTGGAATTAATTAACAATGTATAAAATATTTAAAGGAGTACAATGGATGAGAGGATGCAGAACAAGAAAAGATGGTGGACTAGAAACAAATTCTGAGGCCTACCAACATTCAGAGTCAGATAGAGGCAGAAGGGCCAGCAAAGGAGAAAGGTGAGAGGAAAAATGGTGACAGGCAGGCAATGAGGAGAAAGAAATGTCCACCAGAACTAGTACTTTCAGTTCCTGAAAGTAACTGATGACCTTGACAAGAGCAATTTCTTTGGAAGAGTGGTGAATAGAAGCTAAATTTGAGAGGGCTGAAGAATGAATGGAAGGTGGGAAAGCAAGTGAAGGCAACTCTTTCCAGAGGTTCCAATGGATCAAGGGACAAAGAGAAGGTCTCTTACTAGCAGGAGATGTGGAGCAAAAGGAGTGTTTTGTTTACATTTTAAGATGGGAGATACTGGATCTGGTCTTTTTACTGACAGAAGAATTAAGAGAAGAATGTAATGATCATGAGTGGTACTGGGATAAGAATAATACAAGGGTCCTTGGGGGTAGGATACAGCGCACAAATAAAAGCCCTTTGACAGGAACAAGAACAATGTTTCCGTTTTGACAAGAACAAAGCAAGAAAACATGGGAACAAATACAGGCAGGTTTGAAGATTTGGTGGTGGTAGGATGCTGAGGGAGTTTCCTGTCTGAAAGCTTCTATATGAGAAGGAGGCATCAGTGAAGGAGGAAAGGTAAGTGAGCATGGGTGCTTTGAGAGGAAAAGAAGTGGTATGAAATAGTAAAAGGTAAAACTCATTAGGGAAATGTAGTAGCATTTCCAGTCATGTTGGGTGCCCATTTGACATCCCATGAGTAAAGAGTCAGCTAGGTATATAATTTATCCAATAATGTTTAGCCACTTGAATGTACTTATAGAGAAAGTAGAGAGTTGAATTAAATTAGGACTGGGATTTAGCAAACAGTATGATAGGCAAAGAGTTACTGAAGGTATTTGTAAGGGAGTAATTATAATAAAGAACCGTGGAATTTATGCTGAGTAAGGGACATGAAAAAAAGAGAGAGATGATGGATGCTGGAAAGGTCCTCTGCACGGATATTAAAATCACCAAGAACAATAAGGGTTTACGTGGAGAAGACAATGAGTAGGAGTTCAGTCTGAAGTTAAAAAGAGAGGTAGGGGGAGGCATAAATACAGACTTCAAAGGAACTAGAGTTTTTGAAGGAAAAAAGGGAAGAGAAATGATTTGGAAGGATTAAGTAGACCCACCTTACTTCTTGGCCCTGAAGTATGTAAGGAATAGGCCTTTTTCTTGGGGATGAGTGGGACATTCAACAAACTAGAGGGGAGGCTTTTCACTGATTAGAACAATTACCCACAGAATGAACACATTTCCATATACATCAGAATCATCTAGCTATCTTCTTGAAAATGCTGATTCCCCTCTATATGAGGTCTGCTGAAGGATAATCTCTGAAGACTGAAATTCTACATTACAAACAAGCACATCAGATGATTCTTTGGTACATTAGAAGTTCGAGAAGCAGTGGAATAGTACCTTTGAGGAAATAATATATACAACTGAAGACACAACATTTTTTTTAAGCCATACCATTTTTTAATTCATGGGAAACACATAAGGTTAAGCATAATGATCTTAAGAGAAGAAATATCCCCAAAGCAAGTGTCTTTTTAAAAGGTGTCTTACACAAATTTATTCTTTTGAAGTGTGTGGTAAAATATGGAAGGGCATAGCTATTTAATTTCAGAGAGCTCTATTTGTCCTATGGAAGCAATTAGGGGAATAGAGGGCATGCTGAGAGCTTCGGTCTCCACAAGAAAAAAACAGCATTCTACAAATGTTTGTCTAATGTGTAAATATAAATTTCTACAGGAGACTGAGGGTTGGTAAATAGAAGGTGTATCTTACTGAGCTGTCTCTCCCTCAGGGCCTAGTATCAGTCTTGAGCTCTCAGGGGACTGCTTTTCTTTTTTGGCCTAGACTGATAGCTAGAATCCTTTGGTTATTAGAAAGGTGGAAAAATATCAGGCCCTTTGGAGGGGCAGTCAGAGGTTGGCTGCCAAACTTTCCTAATTTTGAGTCAGGCATTCTTACCTTTGGAACATCCAACCTCAGAACAAAAATATAATCACCAAGTGTGACTCCTTGGGTAAGTGGACTCCATGTTATTTTAAATGTTTCCTCAGCTGGTATGTCAATAAAGCTTACAGGAGAGCACACAGACACATAAGGGAAGGGAAGGCTCTGGATATGCTGGGACAAGCAAGGCAATCAGTGAAAACCAATTATAAAAGAACAGCATCACCTGGTTATAGGAATACCTGTTCTGTCATGCACAAACTATGGTACTTACTTTCCTCTGACATGGTAAGGTTTGAAGCAAGGCTGGATGTTTCAGGTTTCTGGTCACTGACTTCGGGGCTGCTTACTTGACTGGGAGACCAAAATAAATAGGTTAGCCCCTGAATGATTTGCTGCATTGCTAAAAGTGATTAAACCAAACCTATTTTTTGCCAGGCTATACAAGCAAGAGGCAAAGTAAGTCTTCTTCATGACAACCTTATTCTTGGTTTTTAGTAGCTTCCTGGAGAGCGAGGACCCGGGCTAGTACCCTCAACATTCCACTATTCTTTCTCATATCCTTATACCCTTTCAGGTTTTATGTCACTCAGAAATTCTGGCTAAGTCACAGACAAGTCACATTTTTTTCTAAAGACTATGTGGCAAAAGAAAAATTCCAAAACACCTAAAACTGCTCCATCAACTTTGTTTCCAAAGTGCCACAAGTAAGTAGGCAGATGCCTGATATCAGACAGTGGTTCTCATAACCATTTCAGAATTTTTCTCAAATTACACATCCTTGCTTCAAAGTGGGGTTCTGAACCTTAAGAAGGTTCATTCTACTATATTTTTCTTCTCCCCTGATTAAAAAAAGAAAACAATTTTTTTTGTTATTGTACCCAAGACTGAGCAACATTTTTTTAAAATCTTATATGAAAATTAAGAGAGATTGTGTAAGGTAAATCATGTAAACCGAGAGGACTGCTCTTTGTGGTAGATGCTTTAATGTTGGGAAGATTCTCACTGAAATTCTGGAATGGAAATTACAGTAACTTTCATCCCTCACAATGTCCTCCCTCTTCCTTCTACCTTATTTTCCATTTCAGTTATTCCCTCAATTACAAGGATCATAGTTAAAAACACAGATCCTAGAGCAAAATTGCTGGAGTTCATATTCTACTTGGCTAAAACTAGCTTTATGACTTTAGGCAGGTCACTGAACTCTCTGTACCTCAGTTTCTTCAATTGTCAAGAGGGATAATAGTAGCAGAACTTACTGCATAGAGTTGTTATGAGGTCACAACCTCACAGGATTAATGAGTTAATATATGAAAAGTGCTTAAAGCAGAGTCTAGAACATTTTAAGTACAATCTAACCAGAGCTACTATTATATTACACTTCCCTCTAGCCCAGGCATCTTCCACATTCATGTTCCCTAGGAAGAAAACTGCTTTGCTGTTCTACATTTCAGGGAAAAGTGAGGACACTGTACCAAAAGTTCCATATGTCTGGAAAGATAAGATTGACTAATAAAAGGTAAGAATAGTTTCTATACAGCAAAATTTTAAAAAGAAATGTTATCCATGTAAGAAATATACAGCACCAAAAGTCTTTAAGCTGTCACTACCTTTTCTGAACAGACCCCCGATAGTGAAGTATAATATCAATAAAGCTTTTTACCTGGTATATTTTGATGTGCAAACAATTTTTCCTCAGATATAATTAATTTTTAAGACTAATTTCCCATATGAAGTTTATTTTTACCTATGTACTCAATTGTTTGTGTTTTTAGAATTGCATTTAATGTCCTAACCAAGATGTGATTATGGGAATTGAAAGGTAAGAGTAAAATATCATACTGAGTAGTTATGTCAATGTTTCTCAAACTGGTCTATTATAATTACCTGAATGACTGATAAGAATACAGATTTCTTGGCCCCATCTCATGTTTATTTAAATAGGATTCCTAGGGGACTGGTATAAAACAGGACAAGAACTTCACATTTCTGACTACAATGACTGGTTTGTCTTCTACATGTACTTGGATAAGTCTGGGGTTCATTGTTATACCCACTGTTGAAAGACTATTTCTAGATCCTTTATTTCAGAAGGTATATTTGTATGATCTGGTATACATGGACCAGCTGCTAAAATCCTAGGGTCTTGGAATCTTATGTTATAGCAAAATCCACTATATATTCAACTGAGTATCTAGAGACTAAATAGAAACAACAGCACCAAGACAGTGAAATAACTCAAGCACTTTGTTAAATTTGTTATTATATCTGAAAAATTATATACTGTCTCAAAAAACAATTATTTTCAGTTATATAAATACAAATTTTGCCTAACAATGAGTGCTGCTGAAAAAAAAAGATGCTCTAAAATAAAATGACTCCCCCTGAAAAAAAGAGCAAAACCACCCAAACTCCAAAAAGTGGGCATCACAAACAACTCATTCTCATTCAAAAGAACTCTTGTCAATAATCAACACAATCAATTAATCAATGGATAAGTAAAATGTGGTATAGACATACAATAGAATATTATTCAGCCTCAAAAAGGAAGGAAACGAATCTGCTACAACATGGATGAACCTGGAAGGCGTTACACAAAGAGAAGTAGGCCAGTCACAGAAAGATGAATACTGTATGATACCAATAACATGAGGTACTTAGAGACAGGAAGAATGGTGGTGAGAAGGGAGAAATGGTAACTTAGTTACTGTTTAATGACTAGAGTTTTAGTTTGGGAAACTAGGTGATAGTTGCACAACAGTGTGAATGTACTGCATGCTACTGAATTATACACTTAAAAATTACTGAAATGGTGACTTTTATGTATGTTTTATCAAATAAAGAAACTGCTGAAGAAGAGAGAAGGTATAATTATATGGAGGTGATAGTTCCATAGTAAACCAGAGGAGTCAGCCTTGGATAAGAGCAGGGGAATTTAACTCAGAGGAAAGGGTAGCAGAGAATATTGTAGAGAAGAGGAGAAGTGGGGAGATTTGGTGACAGACTAATGAGGTAGTTCCTATCTGTTTTTAAGTTCTCTTTGAATTATGGAGCAAGAACCCCCACTGAATGAATAGGAACAGAGTGGAGGAGAGAGGAAGGGAGAGGGAGAAGGCAGAAGGCAAGAGGCAAGGAGGGAGGAAAAAAGGGAGGAAGGGAAAGAGGGAAGAAAGATGATTTTGGAGACTGGGAAATAAAACACACCAGAAAGGGTTGTTGGACCACCAAGAATTTAAGTGCCTGTTTGAGATGTAATCATGAATGGAAACTGAAACTAGTCAGCAGTTTTTTTGTGTTTTTGTGTCACAATGTTCAGGTGATTGAGAATAAATATAGAATAGGTGGATAGCTGGGTTTAACCAGGGTTGTGGTTTTCTTAGGGAAATATGACACAGTCGGAAAGCTACAAAATGTTTATAAGGATGTTTGTTAAAAATGTTACTGATTAAAGTAGTAGATTTTATAACCTAAGCAGCCTAAGAAAGATACTCGTCTTTTTGAGGGAGGGGTCCATGGTTGATAGTGAAAATGATAGATCACTGAACTGAAAGTGCTCAGTAAGACATCACATGGCTAGTGTGGCAGTAGAATAAATTTACAGGGATGTAGTATGTGGTAGTAAAGAGCAGCATTCTGGAAATTAAGATGTTAGAGGTGATACAGTTACTGGTTCATATGGTTGGTGGACAAATGACAGGAGATAAGAACTGTGGAAAACTGAAAACTATGGTGTTGTGGAAGACAGAGCCTGAGGTGCACAGAAACCGCCTCTTATCTATAAGGGGAGTGGTACTAATGACCAGAGCATCCCACATTCGCTTAGTAATTAACATAGAATTCCTGGGGTTTTACTTAGTTCTGCTTATTCTTCCTGTTTACAACACTATATATCTAACTGAAGAATATTCACCATCGTGTCTCCTACACACGACAGGATCTGATAGAGAACATGAGTTCAGTACATATTGTTGAATAAATAATGAATGAACAACAACAAAAAAATCAGCACTTACATGTGTTTAAAGAAAGAATATTCGGAGGGAAATTTTCATCTTAAACCACATAATTTCAAAATGTGAAGACTGATGCTAAAATCCAAAAAGAGTGTAGTCACCTCAAATCATGCCCATATACTAATCAGGATTTGAAAAAAAAAAAATTCAACCTTACATACCTCAAAGTTTGCTCTCCTGATTCCTGCATCTTGGCTTTTTTCACCTGTAAAAATAAATACACAAAGGTGTCAATGGAGTCATCTGAGTTTGAAATCATCTAGCCACCCAAATGGCAGGCTAATATTAACTAGTAAGTTATGAGGTAGCTATTTCATTTTGCTTTGATCAGATTTATTTAATTAATAACCCCTGTTATATTTTAGAATTAAATATAACATGGCATTTTTTTTCTTTAATGAAAAAAGTGTTTTTCAGATTCAAAGCAAAATGTTTACCAGGATTTTTACTCAAGATAGAATGTTTAACAGGATAAAGTATCCAAACCTGGATACCAACTAGTTGGTTTTAAATTTTAGCAGATACATAAATTACTCACATGACGAGAAGATACAACTACCTATTGCTGTGATGATGAAATTTAAAGAGAAAGAGCTGTTTATGAAAGACAAAGTATTATACAATTGTTAAATTTTAGTGTTATCACAGACATCAAGAACAAAGTTGAATCCCTAAAATTTCAAGACAGGACTAAGAAATACCACTTTATAGATAAGAAAACTATGTTGTGCATCTCAAATGTCATTCCAGGATTGTTCTATGATGACTTACAAGTATATAATTATAGTGGCTCCTAAGTTCTGACAAGAGGCTAAATCATACTAGTGCTACTCTTAGGAATAATAAATTCAGAAGTCTGCATGGAGACTACAAAAAGGAAGGATTTTATCCATCACTGTCCAACAAAAAAAAAGCTTATCATTCTGTTTACTAAAAAGTCATATGCTATATTTTATAAGGGGTTAAGGGCTTGAGCATAACCTAGATTAAATTTCACATCCATTTAATACCATTTTCTTTGACCATGCTTACCAACAGCCATCTATTATTAATTTGCCTCAAGCACTTCGTGTAAGGCAAGTACGTAAAGAGAGTTAACATCCCAAATTACTATAAAGGTAAACACCTGTGGCAGAGACAATGCCTGTTCTACCACTGTGTATTGGGTATGACTGTGATAGGAGGTAAAAAATGTGTCTTTTAAGTTCGCAGGCTACCAGTCCCATAGAAGTCACATCCAGACTTAGTAGCAACTATTGGGTATCAGATCCTGTATCTGATCTGGATGCAGTGACTGACAGAATTTGCGGCTGTTTCTCTTAAGTTGGTTGTGTGGGGGAATGGAGATATGTATTGTTCTTCATGTGTGAAAAATTAAACAGGTAAACCAAAGGGGAGATTATGGTAGAGTCACCAAAAAATTCTCAGTAGTCTTTTCTCACTTCCTACTCACACAGGATGCTATAGACTAAATGTCTGTGTCCCCCTCCACAATTCATATTTTAAAGCCTAATTCCCAGTGTGATGGTATGTAGAGACAGGGCTTTTGGAAAGTGATTAGGTCATGAGGGTGGAATCCTCATGAATGGGATTAGTGCCCTTATAAAAGAGACCTCCCTTGCCCTTTTGACCATGTGAGTACACAGCAGAAAGATGGCCATCTATGAACCAGGAAGCAAGCCCTTACCATACATCACATCTGCCAATGCCTTGATCGATCTTGCACTTCCTAGCCTCTAGAACTGTGAGAAATAAATTTCTGTTATTTATAAGCTACCCAGTCTACAGTATTTTGTTATAGCAGCCCAGATGGACTAAGACACAGAATTATTCTATTTTCCAGCCCTCCTTGCTGTTAGATTGGAGCCAAATAAGCCATTTAAAACTAGCTCTTTAAAACATTATGTATGATCATTCAATCCTCTCTTTCCTTTCTCTGGCTACCATGGAGGCCACAAGTTAAAGATAATGGCATCACAAGATAAAAGCAGCCTACAGGGAGAACTGGTCCAGGAAAGTTGACAATCCACATGAAACTAATATGAGAGATAAATACAATTCTTTTGTGTTAAACTACTGAGACATTGAGTTGTAAATAATTTTATGTTACCAAAGCAATCTTCTAAAAAATTCAAGAGTCCAGTCCATAGACTGGGGGAATCTTCTCTCTGATAATTACACAGGCTCTAGTCTGAAGAGAAGAGTGTAAAGATTAGCACTGGGTCCAATAATAATAATACCTTCATACTGCAATTTATGCAATGGGAGTCCTGGAAGAAATAAGGCTAAGTCAATATATTTACCCTTAATACCTTAGTTTAAATATCAGGTATTCTCTCCAGCTGTCACGTAGATATTTGATCTATTTATATCCTAAATCTTTAAGCAATCAATAAAAATGTTGAGTGTTCTTAGAGAAAATATATAATAGCTCCTGGTGATTGTCATATTCTTTTCTAAGTGCCCATAGTGGTCTGTTTAAAATCTGTTTTATGCTATTATTAATTAGCATTGAATTAGTACGTCTTTATTTCCAGCACCTAATTCTTCCCTCGCACTGCCTTTGAATTAAAAAAAAAAAAAAGAGAGAGAGCAACATCTGTTTACATTCTCTTTCAAACATTTCTCATTCTGTGATTTTTCAGATGATGAACACTGGTTTGGCAATCATGTTTTTAAGTTTTAGTTCTATGGGATAAAACTTTTATGAGTTGGAGGATTAGAACCCATTTGAAATGACTTAGGTACTTGCTCACAAATATATTTTGAATAAAATACATTTTTCAAAGTTCAGCTATGCCAACCTTTACAAGTTGAAGAGTATTATCTTTGATAGAGAAGAAAAAAAAAAAAAAAGGAAAAAAGAAATTGGGGGTTGAGTCAAGTCATTCTTCCTTTGCCACTTGCTGTAGTTCTTTCTTCTCCTTACCATCCAAGCCCAAAACACAATTTTTAAGGTCCTTTTTATTACTCTCAAGAATGTTTCCCAAGCTTCACCCTTTTTTTATATTTTAGCCTAGAGTACATTATGGTTGTAAGCATTACCATCTCTTCTCTACAGTATTACTAATTTCATTTAAAACTTAAATACAGAGGGCACACATGCTTCTATTTTTAAAAATCCAAACCATACAGATATGGATAAAGTAGATATAAAAGACCTTATTTTGCCCTACCATTTCCATGAAATAATCAGTATTGAGTATGGTATATATTCTTCTAAAATTTTTTCCTACACATACATGTCTTTTTAAAACGAGTTCAGAGAGCACCCCTGATAGCCATAATAGAGTTTTTACCTGCTTTCAGTTTGCCAGCAACACTCTTGGTTTATCCCCAAACCAGGTCTGGTTAGTGTACCCTTTTACTCTTCCAAAGAGCTCCATTTTGAACAATAATATGAACTGCTTCAGAGTATTTGAAAAAGATGAAGACTGGGGAAAAGACTGAGTGATTTCAAGGTAAGTGGTGACCACAGAGACAACCACTTCTGATTGCAGAGGATTGAGGACTGACTGGAATTAAGAAAAAGTGAAAGATAGAGCCCAAGTCTAGGATTTATGCTGCCCTGTAAACAATGACATGAACAAATCTCTAGGGCAAGTTAGTAGCAGAGAAACAGGAGAAGGATAATTCTGTAGGAAGAAGAGGAGGGATAAAATAACTCTAATAATAATGCCCATCATTAACATCTCTCTACAGAAAGGTAATAGTAGGGTTAAAAATCTTGGCTTTATCTATCATCATCAACTTGGGATAGAACCCTTCTTTCCACTCAAATTTCAGAACTCACTACAGCCTGTGAAAATCTGTTTTCATCCTCAAAGTCAGACATTTACACTTACTATTATAATTATTTGTAACAGTTAATAAGTGTTCTGTGTTTGGTTATATTCTGTATCTGCCTATTTGGCATCCATTAATCACAGGGCCAAACTAAGGGCCAAAGTTGCTTACATCTTCCCTGGGATTCAGAGCGCATACTCTGAACCATATCCTTTATCTAACTCACACCCCAAGTCAACATTTTTCCTGCTCTAAATCAACCTAGGGCCAGATACAAGGGAGATGGTGACAGTCACTATGCCCCAATCCCCACTATAAGTACTCAAGCTACCCAAACCTAAATTGCCTACCCTGCCTCCCTTTGCCTCATCTTGCTTGAGGAAACCCCAACAAAGGCTACGGCCTATATACTACTGCCCTAGCTCTTTTCTGCCTCCATCTGACCAAGACTGGTGCTTTCCCCTTGGCCCTGTGTGGCATCCCATGACTGTCATTTCTAGAAGGATTGCAAGTAATATTAAACTTTTCTTTCAGTGGCATTGGCCTCTCCATGTTGTCACTCAGTCATCTTTATAAATTAAGATTCAGGCACAAATCAATAAGGAAATAATGTACCATGACAATCACCATTTATAGTCAGTCAGCAGAAAATTTTTTTTCAGTGCTTTAATTTCTCACCTTCCTCTGAAGTAACGATCAGGTTTTGTACATCATATTTAAGAAATTGAATAAAATGGCAAGGAAATGAAATAGAGCAGAAAAGATGACTAACCAGCAGGTCAGCCTCACAATTCTCATTACTTTAAATAGGTAAGGAGTTACTAACAACAATATCCACTTCAACAATATGTCAACACATACACTTCTTTTGAAACTAAGACTAGACCTCCGTCTTTAATCACAAAAACTCAGTAACATTATTTTCCTTGATACATTTAATATCTCTAATTCGGCTACTATAGTTCTTAGAGTGTACATCCTAGATACTACTGAGCATGATTTTTAACTCTACCATTTCCCTTTACCATTACTATTATTAATGTCCCACCAGGGATAGGGGATGACAATGTAAATGTTTTCAAAAGGTCATTTTACCAATTGCTTATGTCTTCCTAGTTTTTATACTTACCTTAAGTAAGAGGGTAAAAAGAATAATGGCAAAGTAATTACCAATAAGCATTCCTCAACACAAAGAAAAATACTAAAAATACAGCACTTCATTATTAAAATGGAAGCTGATGGCCATCCTTCTGGATGTAAAGAATACAGCTAGAACAAGAAAAACATATCCTATTTGTTTTCAAGTTCAAATTCTCCTAGGTCAGATTTTTCATAAAGAAAGGTAAACATGTACAACTCTATATTCTCTTAATATGAAATACAAGATGGCTCATTCAGGATAGCAAACTGAATCAGTATTTATTAACTTCACAAAAGAAACTCAAGACAAAAGGAAAAGATCTTTTAACATAAAGGTACCTTAAAAGAATGACTACTGTTTTCCTTTTTTAAATGCTAAGAGCCAAAAAACACAAACAAGAAGAAGCCATGGCAAGGCAATAAATCCATTATCACTTGGGGACATTTACAATAAATTAATCAATCATCAATCAATTAATTAAAAATATCTAAAAGAAATTAAGTATTCCACCTAGTCTCTGGGTTCTTCTCTGTTTTTAAGAATTAGCTAATGGTCAACTTATACTTTCCTCAACTACTACTTTTTAAAAAATTAAGTCAGGGAAATTAAGGTAAAGATAAAACTAAATTTTTTGACAGAAATAGTACACTGCTTGGTAAATAGATATTGTCTTTTATTTTTCTATAAACTGTAAGAATAGCCATTTTTTTAAATGACATTTCCAAACACACTTATTTTGTAATGCTAAATTTTCTAAGCAGACCTTTAAGACTGAATTTTCTTAGCATTAGGTTAGCAAAATATGAATTTAAGAACATATAACATTGTTTCCTTAAAAGGAAAGTATTAAGTATTATTTTTATTTCTAATTTGTAATCTGTAGAATAACTGAATAACATTTAAAATCTTTTAAGATCAGCTTTTCTACAAGCAACGTTAAATTGCTAGAGGAAATACTTACTGGTTGCTCTGGTAAATCTTGCTCTTCTTCCATGAGGACCAATATTTCTCTACAATGCTTAAGTGATTGAATGCAAGACTCTTAGCAGTCTTCAGAGTCTGTTTAAAAAAGAAGGGAGAATTCAACACTTTACGTACTCTTAAAGCATTATCATTGAGGTCATCAGAAAATAATTTTTTAATATTGCTATCCCAAGCTTTCTACGTGAGTTCCAATCTCAAAATCTCAAACTTGCACGTGGCTTTTTCAAAACTGACATGCTGCCCCAAGTCAAGATAGGTATACACAACTTTTATAATACCTTGCAAAAGCCAACACGTGGAACCACTTCTGCTGTACTTAAAATATGGTTATTATAGTGCCTAATGTATTAATCATTTTATAATGACAGCCACATGCAGATAACTAAAACCTTTTTTTTGGTTTAGAGTTATATTTAAAAATTATAAAACCTAGCTTAGCAAGTCAATAAATTATGATAACATCTAACCTACTCAAATGTGGAACGTTTACAGTAACTGTTAACACAGGCACACAGAATCACTTGAAATAGGACAAACTGGAATATTAAATACTTCCACAATCATCTGTACATATCTAATCAATTTAAAGGAAAAATGTAATTCTTCTTGATCTATTTTATTAATGCAAATAAGTAAAGTCAAACATTAAATGTCAGAATTAAGGAAAAATAATCATGTAAAGCTAGGACCCAATTTTATTCTGAAATAACAAGTTCCACTAAATATACTGCATCATAAATTGTTTAAGCAAAATCTTTACCTTCTCAGAAGCTGCTCTTCCTGTCCTGATTATCAAATTAAAAAAATAAAATAGGATGCTACGTCCCACATTTACTGGTAAGAACACTTCACCGTGCCCTGCTGGCAAGAGAGACAGACATTAGAAAACTACAATATAAAAATGAAAAACCAGATTTCTACCTAACAAAAATGAAACTGGCACTTCTCTGAAACAGATGTGATTGCTTATTATGCTTTTAATTAAAGTCATACCTGTTTTCACTTTCTCTACTAACCATGGTAACCTACATAACAGACAAAGCTAAAGTACAGAATCTTCTTGCAGAAGTAATGAAAATTGGAAAAAAAAAAAAAAAAAAACATGAAAAGGGAAATTAAAAACTTCAGTTGTACCTCCCCTCTACTTCTCTTGCTCTATCTTGGTGCAATACAACACACTATTTTAGAGTCACACTCCAGAATGGGGATAAGGAGAGAAAACATGTGCAACGGATACAATTAGATGCAAAACTGTCTAACCCTAATACAGCTTTACTTCCTGCCCTGATCTAAAATGTCAGAAGAAAAAAAAATTTAAAGGTCAGCACACTTATGTGTAGCTCATACACAGAGCCTCAAAAGCTAAGTTCTCATACTACATGACATAGATAACTAGTGCTGCAGAATTAGAGAGCACAAGAACTAAAGCTCGCGGGAGCTTTCGTCCCTAAATTTGTTTTGTTCTATGCAAAAAAGCATCATCGATGTGACATGAAACTGGTTTACAATTGTGAAAGCTGAAGCATTTTTATGTTTTACCAGCTTATATCTATCTCGGTTTTAAACTTAAGTATCTCTTTACTTAAAGGCATTTTAATAATGCCCCAATGTACATAATGTACCTGATTTCATCTGACATAAAAAAAGCAAAATAAAGTCAAATCATTAGGGAAATATAATGCCTTTAATACCCCATTGCTGAATTTTTCTGTGACCAGCTCTCACCTGAACAAAAAGTGATAATATTCAATGTTTTACTTAATTGAAGGTCTTAACTGTAGTAACTGCACCTCTAATAGGTAGATTCTTGGCAAGGGAGAGGGAAGAGGATGCTTCTCCTCATGGGAGAAGAGTTATAAAATCTATCAATGGGCAAGAGGAAGGTAAATTGTTTTTTAAAAAAGATATTCAATAATATGTGCTTTAATTTTGTTTTTAAACACAAGAACCAACTGATTTAAAAAATATGAGCAACATTAAAGACTACAGATTTTTTTTCAGATTTTTTTTATTGATCAAAAATGATCATGGGTAAAGGAGCCATGGACATACAATGGGGAAACGACAGCCTCTTCAACAGCTGGTGTTGGCAAAACTGGACAGTTACATGTAAGAGAATGAAACTGGATCACTGTCTAACCCCATACACAAAAGTAAATTCAAGTCGTGAAACCATAAAACTCTTAGAAGACAACATAGGCAAAAATCTCTTGGACATAAACATGAGCGACTTCTTCATGAACATATCTCCCCAGGCAAGGGAAACAAAAGCAAAAATGAACAAGTGGTGGGACTATATCAAGCTGAAAAGTTTCTG